ACAGACAAAAAAGCTGGACAGGCTATGTCCACAAATGACAACATCACATAAAACTGTACATTCATAACATGTTATAAAAGACTCTTAATGCATTATTCTCATTTTTTATTATACATTTATAGAAACATAGAACATAATCCATTATAAGTAGAATGCATGAAACTTTGCTGATGTCAAATACGTTTACTGTTTACATCCACCAGGCCTGCTTCAAACCCTGTTCAATCAAAAAAATTTAACTTTTTCAACAGCATGAAGTTGGTTAAAAGGTCTTACCCAGTAACACACTATGCCAGAAATGATGAGGAAGAAGGTGATTGAAATACATCAGTCTGGGAAGGGTTATAAAGATATTTCAAAGGCTCTGGGATGCCAATGGACCACAGTGAGAGCCGTTATCTCCAAATGGAAAAACTCGGCACAGTAGTGAACTTTCCCAGAAGTGTCCGACCTTCCTAAATTCCTCCTAAAGCACTCATCCAGGAAGTCAGAAAAGAGCCAAGGCCAACATTAAAGGATCTACAGGCCTCTCTTACATCAATAAAGATCACTGTTCATAATTCCACTATCAGAAAGACACTGGGCAAAAACAGCATCCATGGAAGTGTGGCGAGGTGAGAACCACTGCTAACCCAGAAGAACATTAAGGCTCGTCTGAATTTTGCCAAAACACGCCTTGATGATCCTCACACTTTTGGGGAGAATGTTCTATGGATTGACAAATCGAAAGTGGAACTGTTTGGAATACAGGGGTCCTATTTCATCAGGTGTAAACCAAACACACAATTCTACAGAAAGAACATCATACCTACGGTCAAGCATGGTGGTGGTAGTGTGATGGTGTGGGGATGCTTTGCTGCTTCAGAGCCTGTGTATCTTGTAATAATTGAGGGAGACATAAATTAGAATGTCCGGTCTTCACCAACTGGATGATGCATTATACAAGAGTAAATCCTAGTCGTAGAAGTAAGTGAAAGACTGAGCTCCAGTTATCAGAAGCATTTGGTTGCAGTTATTGCTGCGAAAGGTGGCACAACCAGATTTTAAGTTTAAAATTAATTATTAATTAGTTTTTCACATGAGTGATAGGTGTTGGATAATCCCTAATTTCTCCATCTGGGATTAATAAAGTATGATCTTATCTTATAACATTTTTTTGCTTCAACAAAATATAATAAAAAATCACATTGTGTGTTAACTCCAGTTGCATTTGTTTTTATGTTGTATTTCGTTTGAAGATCTAAAACTATTTCGTATGAAATATACACAAAAACAGAAGAAATCAGGATGGGGCAAATACTTTTTCACAGCACTGTAACATTAATGATATATTTCTCATTTATGAATATAGACTATTTAAAAAAAATACATGATGTTTTAACCCCTTCATAATAACAGCGCAATAAGTGACACACAGTGCAAGTCAAAAGTTTGCAAGTCATGAGTTTCTTATGTTTAATTACAGTTTAATCATTATTATTGCCACCGACCAAACACAATGATAAAGAATAGCAATTAAAGAAGGAAAGCTAAATATTAACAGCTCACTCTGAGATTGTAATGAGGCTCTAAATGAGTGCTTTATTAAAGGCAGGAGCACTTGGAGGGTAAAGCCGTTAAGCCTATAGATAAAACTTGAGACGGCGCTAGTATTAACTGTAAAACATAAATATGTGTTTTGCCTAAAGAACCTAATTAGTGTGATAAAAAGTTTGTCCTTTTCTGCTTAGATTAGATCTGGAAGTCTAACATTTTCCATGTTACTAAACAATTAATAATAAACTTTCTTTCCCCATTTGCTCATACCTTTTCTTTGGTTAAAAAATTTGAGTGTTTCAAATAAGGTCATACTGGCAAACTTTTAACAAAATGTTATTAAACCAATATTATAATATTTTATCAAACCAAACAGTACACCACATTTATTTAATACATATAGAGCAATAAACAATCTCTGTTTGTTTGCTATTAAGAAATACTCTTAGGAAGGTGTTATGACTTCTTATAACGCATTATGGAACCAAATTCATAATCCCTAGTAAACATTGTTAAAAACTATTAAAAATGTTTTATAAACACTGCTGGAAGACAATCCTTAATGCGTAATGAACACTGCCACAAAATAATGCGTCATAAACATTACTACATAACAATCCATATGTGCAATAAACACTGCCACAAAATAATCCAAAATGTGCAATAAACACTGCTACAAGGCAATTCATGATCCGTAAATAAACACCGTTACTAGACGATTCATAATCCATAAATGAACACCGTTACTAGACGATTCATAATCCGTAAATAAACACTAAATTATAAATAAAAAACACCCTAAATTCATAATCGAATAACAAAAGATAAACTAAATAACACGATAAATTCATAACCGTAAATAAACACCGTACTAGACGATTCATAATCGTATAAACACACAGATTATAACGTAAATAAACACAAATAAGTAAAAAAAATAAAACAAAAAAAATAAAAAAACCTATAAATAAAAAAAATATAATAAAACATACAACAATAACGTAAACATACTAAATAACGTAAATAAACACCCTAACATAAGAAAAACTAAATCATAACTAAAAACACCACTAACAAAACAAATAAACTATAACATCATAACGTAAATAAACCTACTAATCATAACGTAAATAAACACCCTACTAGATTCATAACCTAAATAAAACCCTATTAGACAAGACATAATCCGCAAAATAAACTCCGCTACTAGATGATTCATAATCCGTAAATAAACACCGCTACTAGACGATTCATAATCCGTAAATAAACACCGCTACTAGACGATTCATAATCCGTAAATAAACACCGTTACTAGACAATTCATCATGCATAATAAACACTGCTACAAAATAATCCATAATGCACAATACACACTGTTACAAGTGAATGTCTAATGCATAATGTTATGAATTATGAAATGCAAAACATTTCATACTGTGTAACAGACATTACAAAAAGTAATACATAATGCATTATAAACATTGCTACAAAACAGTTTATAATGCATAATAAACACGGACATAAAACACTTTACATTGTGATTTCATATAGTTTTATATGTGTATAATTCCTTATGAATTAATTATAACGTTATACATGAATATTTGATTACAGATATGGCCTTTATGGAAAATGTTATTAAAAGTGTGTTGTTCTTTATAAGAAAAATGAACAAAGACCCTATCTATGCCTTTTTAGGCCAGAACATTAAGCAGTGCAGTCAAACCTGTATAGATATTGCAGAAAGACACAGCAGCCATATTGTTCTACAAACACAACTGTACAATCAAATTTGAGGCTTCAGCAACCTGGAACCTGAATTTCACTTCATGCAAGGGACAAATATGAAGTCTGTTTATCAGGTCTATCGTTTGTTTAACTAATGTGACACTAATTTGATTAGCACGACCTATCATAATTGAGCTCCAGACACATTTAAAAGAAATTCATTTCCCAGCTCAGACGCTTGTTTGATCATTTCAGCTTGTTAAGGTGTTCATGCAAGAAAATATCACTTTTCTTTGCTTTTTTTTATTTGATCACAAGGCTGCTAAATGAACCAGGTCTCTTGACGCCGCAGTACTGTGTTTAAACGACGTTTTGAACAGCACAAAACGGAAGGAAAGGTTACGAAAGAAAAGGCTTTGTTGTTGTTGTTGTTGTTGTTGTTGTTGGTGGTTACTTTTTCAGTTTAAAATATTTTTTCCGTGTTTAAATAATCGACGTGTGGATGTACATGTGGAAGCTTAAACACACTGCAAGACCTTACCATTTCCATAGTCACAACTTCCACAGGGAAGCTCCACGTAAACTCGTTAAACCGTTTTGATATTAAACACGGATGGAAGGAGTCTCCAGTGCCAGTACTTTGTAACAGTAAGAACTGTGTAATCGCCAACATCTTCTGGACAGACCAGTTTTATGTTTTGCGGTTTCTCTATAATATAACAAACTGCATTGCTTGTTTGTTTGTTTGTTTGTTCACCTAACAGGTAATGGCAGACGATGAAAATGAATTCCAAACTCCTTTTGCGTACAAACCAGTGTTAACGTATAAAGCTCTGTGTTCTCGTGCCTTTACATCGACTGATTTTTACACTGATTTGACATTCTTACAGTTTGACATAATTAATACATGAATTGTGTTTCTATAATCAGCGAGAACAGGAAGGAAATGATCAATTAGAATGTACATCACAGTGACCACTGCTCCAACACCACATCCGGCACAGGTCAGTAGTTTACAATTTAAAAAATTAAGAGTTCAGTGTAATAATGCTGGCAAATATACTCTTAAAGAACATGCCTCACGCTGAAGTAAACGGACTATGGCGGTTTACCCCTTTACATTTCTTGACTACTGAGGCGTTAAATTGCAAGGGAAAGCCTGTCTTATCGTTACAATATTTCACTCGATATGAATGTTAACAGTTTATAGTTTTTGTGGGTACATGCATGACTACCAGCAACTCACAGAGCACAAAATACAGGACCATTTCAGACTTGGCAGCTTAAGTTCAAAAGTTATCCCAATATTTACCTGGTGAATGTTTCTTGGATTCCGAATCAGGTTAAGCAGGTATCTGGACTAACCCAGTGTCCGATTTGGATTCTGTTTTTCAATAGATCTTAATACACAATACTATTAATTACTGCAAAGTGTCATGTTTATGTGTTTATCCATCCATCCATCCATCTTCTACCGCTTACTCCTTCTTCAGGGTCACGGGGGAACCTGGAGTCTATCCCAGGGAGCATCGGGCACGAGGCGGGGTACACCCTGGACAGGGTGCCAGTCCATCACAGGGCATATGTGTTTATCATTAGTCTTAAATGTATTCCATTTAAGACTAATGTTCTCTAAAAAGTTCTCTAAAGTATATTTAAAGCCCAAACATCAACACTGGTGCAGGATATAAAACTGTTTATATAGTGGTAGAATAGTGATCTAAAACTGGTCTTTCGGGCGCATGGTGGCTTAGTGGTTAGCATGTTCGCCTCACACCTCCAGAGTCGGGGTTCAATTCCCACTGCGGCTCTGTGTGTGTGTGTGTGTGTGGAGTTTGCATGTTCTCCCCGTGCTGCGGGGGTTTCCTCCGGGTACTCTGGTTTCCTCCTTTCAAAGACATGCATGGTAGGCTGATTGGGGTGTCTAAAGTGTCCATAGTGTATGAATGGGTGTGTGATTGTGCCCTGCGATGGATTGGCACCCTGTCCAGGGTGTACCCAGGATGCTCCCTGGGATAGGCTCCAGGTTCCCCGCGACCCTGAAAAGGATTAAGCGGTATGGAAGATGGATGGATGGACACTGGTCTTAAATTAAAGCATAACTAAAACACGCCTCTGTTTGAACTCTGCCCCTTGAGTAAAAATTTTATATTTAAACTGGATACATGGAAACAGTTCATAGTAAACAAACGACTGAATGGTATAATTATATATACCATTCGGGGGGTGGGGGGTATATTTAATACCATTCGGGGTATATATATACCATGGGGGGGGGGGGGCACACCTGATGCTACACCTTGTGAACTTCCTAGGAATTCCCATCTCTCTTTTCTCCACCAGTGATGACGTATCCACACCTACCCCTTAACTGTCCTCCTACATTATTATTCAGCAACTCCTACTGTACAGCCTTTAGTGGGTATCTAGTGCAAAGCAGAAATCACCCAGAACTCTGAAATTCTCCTCCCATTTCCCCCCATTTTCCAAAATCGCTCTTCATTTCATTTAGTCAAAATTAATCAAAATACAACTACCTTCATTACATAATTAAAAAGCTTGATTCAAAAGCTAATGAACTCATCTGTCAATAACAACTTTTATGTATTTGATGCTTCAGTTACATTCATCATGATTTCAGTGCACTGGCTGAACGTCATCTCATCTGTTGATGCATATTGCAGCTTGGCTCATTTTCCTACATAATTATATTCAAACAGTTGAGTAATTAATCTTTACCGTTCATTAAGAACTTCAAATTGTTAACATGTTCCTATTAGTATATGTGCAATATATTCCTTATTCATTTATAATGATATTTTACTAAATCAAGTTTTAAGTCTTCTTTGCTTTAATGAGCAATGTAAAGATTGGCTACGTAACTGATGAACATTAAATTACTTTAAATATCCACTTATTGCACTTTAAACCAGGTCCTGTAAATGCAAATTTTATTATAATTATTATTATTATTTTTAGAAACGCTGGACCTCATTCATTAGTTCAGGTTTTTTTATTTTTCTCCTCCACCTTCCGCACTCACATTTATGCTAACCAGGCATATATTATCAAGTGTGTTCACGGCATAGCTTCCCATGTAGTGAACCCATAAACGTCAAAGCTCAGCGAGAGCTGAAAAAAGTCCCAAAATATGCTGAAAAGTGTGAACGAGTGCCTCCTAAGTTTGGCGTGTGCTAAATCATCCAGTAATGCAGCTCAGCCAAAGTGCATCGGCTACCGCAAACACACTCGAATGCTTCCTCCTTGTACAGGGCGCCATTACTTTTGTCAGAATTGACTGGGGAGTCTTATTTGTGTCAATTTATGGATTTCACAAAAGCGACATGTAGGATAGGATAGATAACCAGATTTTTATGAACACCACATCCATACTTTTTATTTTTTCTACTGATCCTAAAAGAACTCAAATGGGTTTCAGTTGCTACAGCGGAAGCTCCAGAGAGTGTTAGGGTTGGACCATATTGCAATATAAACGAAACATTTGCAGTGTTGCATTATTGAGTAATAATGTTTACTAAGTAGCACAGCCAAATTCATTATCTCTAATATTTCCAGCTTAATAAAAGCACACAGTCAGACTCTGCTTGGCCCCCTTAATTACTTCTCACAGCCGTTTTTTTTTTTTATTGTTTATTTATTTATTCTAGATAGATTGACTTCCTTCGTATGAATGTGAAAATCATATAACAAAACAAAAACAAAAAAACGCAGCTGTTGTGAACAGAAGATCTGAAAGGTGTTTACATTTCCTAATACACGCAGTAATGAATTCATCATGGGCAGACAAGTGGGAGTAGTCTGAGACAGAGCAAGCAGATATTAATCAGCTCGGCCCTCAAATCGTCCCTCGATGCTCTGGTTTGGCCTGTAACACAAGCAAAGGGAACAATTCCCTCTCATTAATCTTTGTCAAGGACGAGCCATTCCTCAATCCACAACTCCGGGGTCAATATGACTCAAAACATCACAGCGGCTCCTCTCGGGGAATTGAGATCTGTTCGGCGCTTATGATGTAGTCATGAAGATTTATGACACTACGAATGAGGCTTGACCGTAAGCCTTGTACATCCTCCCTCGCAACTGTGAAGATTATTCCTCAGCGAAATGCTAAACAATTGACACTTTGAGATCAGTAGGTTAAAGAACATGCAAATGTCTGTGAAATGATCAACTTTATTCATTTTCGAAGAAAAGTTTCTAAGTATCACATGCGATCAGATGAGACTGTCACCTTGGGAATGACGCCGTACACTCTCGCACGAAAAGGATTCTTCTAGGTTTCTCTACATGGAACCTTTAAGAGTTACCTCAGAAGAACCACTTTGTTATTTGCTAGTATATTTTACAGCACTTTTATTTCTAACTGTATAGTATAGTATAGTATTTAAGGAATAAAACACTTCAGGAAATGCTGATATAGGAAAACAATCAAGGATGGGGTGGTGTCATGTGGTCCAACTAACCCAAAGTTGATTCTATTCCAATTACAGCACATTCTGAAGTGTTTTCTTCCTCTCATCTCATAGCAATTTACCAACAATTAAAATGTGTAGCAGTTAAAATCTATTCATGAATGGTGTACTTTTTATCTGTTTATAGTTACTTTAATGTTATTTATCATTCATGAAAACGAGGGGCTAATGGTTCGATTTTGTTCGAATCTTACACAAATAATTTTGTTGGAAAGGATGAGCAAATTAAACACGCCCATAATCTTAACCCATGTATCATTCAATATAAGTCGAAATCTTTAAAAAGTAATAAAAAAAAAGAGAGATGATGTTGTCAAGTGTAGCTAAAAAATATATATATATATATAAATAAAGAAACTTTATTCTCTGTGTTTTCCGCACATTATTATTTCATGGCTACGATTATTACCTTCTATGTAAGGCCCTCTGAATGTCACACCACCTCATTAACACATCTTTTTGCTAATATTGCAAGAGTGCTAAAACCATACAAAATGGCTAATTAGGTAATTATCACCGTTTACCCACAGTACATTTCAGATTTAACAGGCTAGGCTCTGGGTGAAACAGGTCTTTTTTTTCAATGCTAATAACTGTATCTCTGTTTCTTAAAATAGTCCCACAAGTCGCAAAAAAAAAAAAAAAAAAAAAAAGATCAGTTCATAACAGAAAGCCATTTGTAAGACACCTGCAAACAATGGTCAGAGCATTTAGAAATAATAACCTCGGTACCTACAAGTGTGTTTATGCGACAAGAGTAGCTAACAACAGCAGGCTAACTGTAATAGCTGAACTAAAATGAACTAATCCGGGTCAAAAATTCCAGATAATCAACCTCCACAAGCTTGTTCACTTTCAGGTCATTATTAACCCAATTTACATCAACTACCTGATGCAACAAGCTAAATCTGGAACCTGAGTTGTAAAAATAATAACATTTTACTACTACTACTACTACCACTACTAATACATTTTATTTATAGGCACCTTTCATGGCACTCAAGGACACCTTACAAGCAATAAAACACAGAAAATATAAAATGAAAGGAGGCCATCAATTGGGCCAAGAAACCCCCACAGAGGCCCTCAATGCACGCTTAAAAAAATCCACAAACAATAAAAAGCTACATAGACACAGTCACTTGAAAGCCTGTCTGAAATGGTGCGTTTTAAGGCGAGATTTAAAAACAGAAATAGTTTTACAGTGTCAGATATCCTGTGGAAGCAGGGGCTGCATAGCTAGAAGCATGAGACCCCATAGAGGACAAATGCATGTGAGGGAGAACTGAAGTAAATGAAGAAGATGATCTAAGAGTGGTGGGAGTGTACATGGAAAGATATGACAAATTGGAAGGAGCCAGGTTGTGTAGTGCCTCATAGGTAAGAAGTCAAATTCAATTCAATACGGTGTTTAACAGGAAGTCAGTGGAACTACTGAAAGACAGGGGAAATGTGCTCAAACGAAGGAGTTCTAGAGATGATTTGAGCAGCCAAGTTTTGAACTAACTGGAGTTTGTGTAACAGTTCGAGAGGTAGAGCATAGAGTAGAGAATTACATTGCATCAACATTTACATTCATTCATTTAGCAGACGCTTTTATCCAAAGCGACTTAGAAATGAGAAAATTCAAGCAAAGCGATATATCAAGCAGAGACCGATACAAGTAGTGCTAAAATACATGATCCATTAATTGAGTTCCAGAAGAAGAAAAGTGCGCAGAGTAGAGGTATAAGTGTCAGAGTAAAAAGTATTATTATTACATATTATTTTTATGAGTTGGTTAGGTGTTCACGGAAGAGGTGGGTCTTTAGCCGTCTTTTGAAGATGGTGAGAGATTCTGCAGTCCGGATTGATCGATGTGTGATGTAACTAGGGCATGGACAGTTGGACATTATGGCAGTGCTCCTTGTTAAGAGGGCTGGATGGCGACAGTTAATATTACGCATGTGGAAGTATGCTATCTGAGTAATATTATTAACGTGACCTTCAAATAACAGAGTATTGTCAGAGATAACACCCAAGCTCTTAACTTGTGTAGAGAGGAAGACTGGAGAATTGTCATTAGACACAGAGCAACAATTTGACTTTGCAAGATTATTTTTTTGTACCAACAAGGAGAATTTCAGTTTTGTTGTTATTAAGTTTTAGGACGTTGTTTGAAAACCAAGTTATAATTTCAGACAGACGATTAAAAAAAAGAACACAGGTGGGCTTAGAATACAGGTAGAGCTGGGTGTCATCAGCGTAACAGTGGACATGGGTGCAAAATTTTCTGAAAATACTACTACGCGGAAGGAGATAAATAATAAATTGCAGAG